TATCTGACGAAGTCACTCAATCGCTGGTGGAAGCCTATCAGGGAGATCCAGTTATGTCAGAAATCATTCGTAGATTCTAAGCAAAGGACAAAAAGACTTTGGACGAATTTACGATGGTAGATGGCTTGCTGTTTCTCGAGAAGGCAGGGAATAAAAGACTATGTGTTGCTAATAGTGAGTCTTTGCGTAGTTTATTTTTAGGAGAATGTCATGATACAACTGGTTATTTTGGCTGCAAAATGACATCAGCGAACTTAGTACAAAGATTATGGTGGCCCTCTATGATGCAAGATGCAAAATGATACGTTGAAACCTGCCAGGTTTGCCAAAGAGACAAACCAAGGACTCAGGCTCCGCTTGGGCTGATCAAGCCCTGCCGATTCCTGAAGGACCAAGTTAGAGTGTGTCTATGGATTTCATGGACACCCTCGTGATCAACAGGTATGGAAAGAGGCACATCTTTGTTATAGTGGACCGTTTTACTAAGTATGCAAGACTAATCGCTATGCCAGAAACAACTAAAACTGACCACGTCATCAAACTTTTGATGGATAATTGGGTACGTGATTTACGTTTGCCTACGTCCATCGTTAGTGATAGGGATGTGAGATTCACAAGTGAACTGTGGCAGTCAACCGCTGAACAGATGGGCACAAAACTCCAAATGACCTCAGAGAATCACCCTGAGTCAAATGGTCAGGCAGAACAGATGAACCGGGTAGTACAGCACCTGCTTCGGCATTATATTAAGCCAAGTCAGGATGACAGGGACGAGCAGCCTGTACAACAATGTTGTGCACAGTACTACCGGTATGACTCCCAACCACATGTTGGTTGGAAGCCCAGAACAACACTTGACTTTCTGCTACCAGAAACACAACCCACTGCAACACCTGGCAGCATAGAATTTATTGTCAAATATGAACAGATGCTGCAGCAAGCCGTTGAACATATTAGGAAGTCTCAAGATGCTATGATCGCATCTGAGAATAAGCATAGACGACCTTCTAACTTTCAGGTAAATGATAGAGTCTGGGTAAAGTCATTTGAACTAGTTCGGGAGATGGGGATATCAAGAAAACTGATGGCATAGTATTTTGGGCCCTGGGAGATCTTGGACATTGTAGGGGATCAACCTGATGGACCTTCATACGTGATCCGTATTCCTGCACACCTACACACTTACCCTGTGTTTCATGCCTCCAAGCTCGCACCTTTCGCTGCCGCTGACCAGTTTCCTTCAAGAAGATCAATGCTGCTCCCAACCATGGATGGCGAGGTGGACGTTGACCAGATCGTGGAGCATCGAGTGATGCCTGTTCCTCGACCATCAGGCAGAGGGTGCCCTCCTAAGCCGAGAATGCAGTATCGTGTGAGATTTAAACATCATGTGGATCCCAAGGGAGATCGCTGGTTCACACGAGAAGAACTCCTGAGAACCGCTCCTCAAGTAATCGCAGGCTATGAAAGAGAACTAAAAGGGAAAATGCCTGCAGAATAAGAGACTTCTTAGAGGACTTACGAAGCAAAGGAGGAGGGAATGCGAGGATCTGTGCCCTCGGCAGGCCTATGGCACCCCGTTAACAATGGTGTCGGCCCTGAGTGAAGGCGGGCCTAACATTTCACAAGAGGCCTATGACTGTCAATTTCATATTTTGGGGTACAGGCAGTTGCGACGCGCCAGTTGGTTGAAAGGAACGTGTGTCGAGCAGCAAAGACATTTCCACGGCCTACCGGGCCTTTCCAAAGAATGCAGGCCCTGGGTGTGAATCGCAGCCTCATACACTGAYAGTTGGGAGGCCCAACCGAACGAGGCCCRGTAGCTGCAGGGCAAAGGCAGCATCCTGGGGCCTTCCRAAAGCTTCTGGGCCCAGGCCAGTGCAGCCAGGCTCCACGAGMAGGCCAGCTCTTTCCTTATTTGTTCACTTGCTTGCTGGCGGCRGCGCTGCTGGAGCAATTKCTCGCSGGCTGGCTGCCGACATTGGAGCAAGAGGCTGCGCACGTGCGGTCGTGTGTGGGAGCAGGGCACTGCTGAGGGCAGCGCCATAGCCAGCCTCCATAGCGAG